TGCAGAAGATAAAAACGTATTGAAAATTAACATTTCATTAATGACATTAACACATAAAGCTGATATGAGATTTATGTGATTGGGTTTAGATCATCTTTAGACCCTAAAAGTTCCACACCCGAATCTCCTGAAAAAGAAAAAGGAAGAAGTACTTTAGCTTCTTCCCTTTTCTTTGTATCTAAAACACGTCGGAGGAGTAGGAGAGGATCTGGTGAAGAGCGTCATGCTTTCGATTTGTCACAATGTTCTAGCAGCAATAAAACTTTCTGGATACAAAGAAAAGAGAACAAGCAAAAGTACTTTTATTTTTCAGGTCTTTCGGGCGTGGAGATTTCAGGGTCTAAAAGTCGATCAATCAAGCGGTCCTGGAGTATAACATCCTGGAGTTCCGCTTTAAATCAAATGTAATTGCCATTCTAATCACCCTTGCCCCTAAAGTTATACCTTTCTCTATCATAACATAGCATGATAGCATTCAATGCCAAGATCCCGGTGCTATAAGAAAATGCAGTGAATACATTTTGCCATATTGTGCATTACTCATATTTTATCCTTCAGGTGTCAAGTCTTCCATTGTGTCCTTCACAAGTGTATCGCCATCTGCAGTCACACAAGCCGGTCCAAAGCAAGACAAAGAGTCATACAATTGATGGGCATGCCAGGGTCACCGGCTCAAAAATGCCAATTCTGAAGGATGGTAATGAAACCCGCTCTTGTCTGTCCTGAATGTTCATTTCATTCTGACATCATGAATTGCGCCTTTCTTTTGTACAATAAACTGATTCAAAACCTGTTATTTTAGTAGCTTCTTATTGACTAGACTATTATTTTACTTTTGACCTTTTACTTTTCAGTGCAATAATTGTTATTTCAGATGCAGAGCTTCAAAATAAGTTTATTTTTATTTAAAGCAACCCTGTATATAAACAAATTAAATGAATGGAGAGCTCCAGGAATATCAGAAAAGGACAGCGGGAGGTGGATGTAATGTGTTAGTTACACTTACAATCATGCTGCCCTTTAGAAATATGACTGCCTCAAAGTGTTTGCAAAACCTAACAATACATTTCTCCTACTAAAATGATGTCCTAAAG